TATCAGCCCCGGCTGCACATAACCCAGGCGCAGCCGTGCGGTAGCTCAGGGTGAGGCAGGGGCAGCCGGTCCTCTGGCTCCAGCCTCACGGCTCCAGAGGCAGCAAGGAGCTCAGCATTTCTTCCGTTTCGATGCAGCCTTGACAATGTCAAGTTTCTGTAATCCTTTTCACGCATTTTTGAGGAATTAAGGATGTGCTTGTTCACCAAATATTTATCCTTCAGTATTAAACTGTTGCATAAATTGCCCACATATCCAAACCTACGGCTTCAAGTAGTTTCCCATATCTCAAAATATATGACATTGTTTTTGTATAATTTTCACTTTGCTACCTGATGAATGATGTCTTATGCAATCTGAGATATGTCAAAAACTGTAAGGAAACATTTACTAGCATCTAAATTTACATTTTCTTGTTTGGAAATAAAACGTTCAAAACCCTCCTCAGACCTTTCAATCCCACTTGAGCTGTTTGCTATAAATGAATCATAAGTGGTGGCACTCTTTTCCAGTCAGTTTGCAAGTAAAACCTAGTCCTAGAACTCTAAAAAGTACTTATAATCTATTTCATGAGAAATACCTAATTGCAGCCAGCTAGTTTCAGTAGATGCCCTACTTTGTCTAGGAATATTCCATTAAAATTTGCTCATTTGGAGTCTCAGTTCTTCTAACTCTGCTTTGAAAATGTGGATGTAAAAGAGCTTTCTGAAAGACTGAGATACCGGTTAACCAGAAAGCAAAAGCAGTCTTTTCTTTACTTGAAAAGGAAACTAGCTTTTTGAAATTAATTGCTGATCTTCCTTTTTATGAAGGCCTGAAGGCAGATAGTTTTTTTTCTAGACCTGAATAAAAGTGAGTTTTGTCAATACTGTGCAAAAATTTCTGGCATTGGAAACCTTTTCATATTTACAATATAAACTATTGTTTGTTAGCAAAAAAACAACTAGAAATTGAAACTTGACACATTTTCTGCTTTGCTCAAAACCAATAATGTGTTTGTAGTCAATACAAAGTTACTGTTTTCTACTCAATAGTGGCCTATTTCGGATGAAAAAGTTAGACATTTTTATCCCCAAATACATATATCAGAGAAACAGGAGAAGTAAAAATCAAAATAATTCATATACAATCTCTTGTTTGTTTTTTCGTTTAGCTTACCCTTGCTTCAGCCTATATAGCCAGCTGAAGGAGCGACTGAGGTTCCTGTAAGAAATAAGTAGTTTGAATCTTGGAGGCTGTAAGTGTTTTGGAGCTGAAGCCATGAATATATTATTCTGTTGAATGGAGCAATTATTTACAATATATTTATAAGGATCTTTTATTCTTAATTCACTCAGGAATTACTGGAAGCTCATTTTGAAATGTATTTCTTGTCCACAGCTGCCTGTCAGAGACAACATATTCTAAATGCACAAAATCCTTTGGGTATTAAAAGCATGCTAAGCATTCAGTAGGATATGAAAAGGATTTGGTGAAACTAGGAGGCAAATTGTGCTCCTGGTGATGAAAGTGGAGTGAGAGAGTGCATTGCGGATGGATAGTCTGAAAATCATACTGCCCTTACCTTGGGTGAAACTGACCCAGTTCGGGAAGTAAAATTTTGTATTCGGTAAACTGCTTGTTGCAGATAGGGTTGGTTAAAGGCTCTTTGAAGGAAACTTTCCAATATATTTAGCAAGTTTAAATCAAGTACTTTGTTCATTTCTGTGTTTAAAAGCAAGTATTTTGGTACCGATGGTGGACTGATTGGTTTTAGGAGCTATCCATTTAATGAGCCAGGGGAAAGGAAAAGCTACCAGGGAGAGAAGTGATGAGGAATAACTGAGCTCCTGTGGCTGCTTGTGTGCAGGGAGCCCGTGCCTGCACAAAAAGCCTCCGCCCCATCCCCTCAGGGCAAGGAGTTCGGAGAGAGCGAGGAAGAGGAGGAGGAGGAAGAGCAAAGTATGGCTGCAGCTGATTCCCGAGGGTTTTTCGGTGAAAAGGAGTGTCCTGCATAGATTTTACGTTGGCTGCCGGAGCAGTCGTGGGAATTGCGGAGTGACAGCATCACGCTGGGGAATGACTACGCCAGCGTTGTGCGCTCCTGCCTGGCGAGCGCAGAAGAGCTGCGTGGTCCTTGGAGAGGTGTAATGGCATTCCCGTGGCCTCGCGCTCTTGTCAAGAGTTCTGCTGGTTTCCTAAGGAAGGAATACTGCTTTTCTTAGATGAAACCCTCAGGAATTACATCAACTGTATGAAATATAAATACATTTCCTCTCCTACTCCATAAATGATGGGCTAGCTTATCTCTGGAGAAGCCAAGAGACAAGATATAGGGGCAGTTTGTGAAACTTTTAAAATAGGCTGTGGTGCACAGCAGCAGACTGCTACAAAACATGACACTGTAGGAAATACGATTCATGTCTGATGGAAACCCCTTGGTAGAGCAGTTCATTAAAGCACATGTTGCGTCATGAGAGCGCCATGCTTGGAGTTAAGTGAATGGAGCATCTGGAGAGAGATAAACTGTTCTGCTTGTTACACTATTCTCTTATCCGGTAATGTGTACATGAGATATTTCAAAAGTGTAATTAATATTGCAAGACCTTTTTTACATCATTTATGGAAGAAAAGCGTTTATCAATTTTCAGGGTGAGAAGCAACAATTTATGAGGATAAAAATGAAGAGGTGTACCATCCTTTTCTCAGGCAAAATATGACTCTAATTTAGTGATGAGTATACACAGAGCTGAACGTGAACTTCTTGTTCTCATGATAATTAGTAGCAGATAAGAAGTATGTCACAGCAACAATTGTCTTTGTAATAGCTGTGGGATACAAGGAAAATGTCAATCTGCTTTATAAAGTTAAAACAGACAAGTAAAATGGACTCCTTGGCTTGTGCTTGGTTGGGCTGTTATTTTGTCACTATTAGAAGACACCATCTTTTTTTTTTTATTGAAAGAAAGAAAAGTGAGCTATTTCCAAAACTCATAGTTTGAGTTTTATGAATCTGATACATCCAGAGTCCTAATTCTGAATTGCATTAAGACCCTGCAAGAATTACATGCTGGCAACCATTCAAACTCCTGTTGCTGCATACACAGACATATTTATGAAAATAAAGTAGCTTGGATCTGTTTGTCCCTTCTTGTTTTGTGATGATTTAACAGAAACTAATTTTATTTTAAAACTCAAGGGTCTTTGTTGCTTGGCGCATGAAGGCACAGAGTGAACTCAGTGGAGTTGAAATTTCCTGAATCACAATTATCAGTAATTATGTCCTTTATGTTTTATTTGGGAGGGCTTATTGGTCATGATTTTGGGGAAGTTTTAATATCAACATCGTATTTTTTTAACCTAGCTGAACTCTATCGTACCACTGCATTTACTGTTTGCATAATTATTATCTGGAAGCAGCAGATATTAGGGGAAAATACCTAGGAGTGACATGCATCCCCCATATGACTTCTTTTTTCTTTAATGAAGTTGAGCGAGGGGCAGTTTTATCTCCTGAAGACTGAAAATAAAAAGTAATTTTGACATAGAGCTTTGGTTGTGGCTTACCTCTACATGAGAGCAGAACCAAAAATTAAGATAATAAATTTCATGAAGAAAATCTATTGTTGTATTAAACTGGCATGCTCAAAATAACGAAACAAAAATTCAGATAAATAGGCGAGACATTCATTAAATGTGCTTTGCATTGTGGAAGCCTACGGTTGTCAGTTTGCATAAATACTAAGCTATTTTTAGAAGAAAACTGGCATGGTAAGTTGTCAATAGAGCTGATAAAATTTGCCTGCCTAAGCTCTTTTTCAGTGGAAAATTGTATTTTCATTGAATGGTTTTTGAGTGTATATGGAAAGTATCTATCTTTCATTCAAAATTTTCATATTTAATTAAGATAAACATTGAGAAACCAAATTGTCACAATTGCTTGCTAAAATATTTTGCTTTTTTATTTACAAGAAGTTACTTTTTCTACAAAAATGTTGTTAATCTTTTTAAAGGCTTTTATTTAATTTCTCCGTGGAAAATAAACTTTCTTTTTGACAAGCTCTCCCTTTGAGCAACTTGGAAGTGCACATCATTGTGCTGAAAAGTGAAATACTGTCAAAAACACTGGGGTATTACTGTTGCTCCCCCCACTATTGCTCCCTCAGAACATGAGCGATTCTTGGGAGGAGAAAACCTTTTGAATTAGAAGAACTGATACTCATGAATCTTGTTTGTGGGGTTTGCCCTGTGTTTCCTGTGTGACGTTGGACAAATCATTGAAATACCAATCCTGGGAGATGCATCTGAGGGCATTTCACAGACATGATATGAAGAGCCTGTGCTCTTTAGGTTTCAGTTTCTCCACTTTAAAAGGAACAGTAACAATCAGGGTATCTTAAGGATATCCAGGGTGTTTTTTAAGCAGCAGTTAGTGAAGATAAAATGGTTTAAGTTTTCAAATGGACAGAGCTGTGAACTGTAAATTGCTTTTCTAAGCTTTACGTCTACCCTGAGAGATCCCTATTTTGCTCATCCAAACAGCTTCTTTCAGATTGCTTCCCTTGAAAACACAGCCCATCTGAAAGAAAATTACCTCTTGTTTCCAAGTACTGCAGCTTGCAAATTACAAGTCCAGTAACACACATTTCCAGGTAGCAGAGGCTAAGGCAGATCTTAACCAATCGGTATTAACTACATGTAATAGATGTCGAAAATTGTCATTTCTAGGAAGTGTGGGATTTATTTCTATAGTAAAGATAATCTAGTGACAGAGTTTTTCTTCTCCACAGAATAATATACAGTATGGAAAAAAATAATTGGTGAATTGTGCAATACTTCAGTGTTACTTCCAAGAGGATAACATGACATACACTTTCATTTATTTTTCACAATGTTCGTTGTATCCTGTGGTTAACCAAGAAGGACCTGTCTGCAACTGTTCTATTCCTGCACTCCTTTTAAAATGTATACCTTAATACATGTAACTTCTTTTTAAACATCTCAAGTTGTTTGTAATTTAGGCTTTGGAAACATCTCACCACGCACACAAGGTGGGAAGATATTCTGTATCATCTATGCCTTACTGGGAATTCCTCTGTTTGGTTTTCTGTTGGCTGGTGTTGGCGACCAACTAGGAACAATCTTTGGGAAAGGAATTGCCAAAGTAGAAGATACCTTTGTTGTGAGTATGCTGACTGCGTTGTTCTTCATGCTACTTGCTGTTCTAAATTTAACAAATTAATTGAAAAATATAGCAAAGAGGGCATAGCTCATCATTATAATCAGATAGCTAGCAAAAGGTAAGAAGAACTTTGCAAGATCTCAGCATGTTATTGAACATTGTTAATTGAGAATTAGATGAAGTTTAACATGTTAGAAATTTACAGGTCATTTTCCACAGTAATTATGACTGGGAAGAGGAACAAGGTCCAAAACAATTCATTCATTTTTGCTTTGCTCTTCAAACACTCTTAAGCTTGCTACAATGTTTGCCTTTAAAGGTTGTAATATAGACTGTGAAAGGAGATCACTGACTGAGAGAGAAGGAAGAGTGGAGCTGTTGGAGTAACATATGGAAACCATTGCTGCTGCTCTGAGTTGGTTCACAGAGGTCCTTTGGTGCCTGAATCTAAAATCACAGTTCTCAAAATCTCTACTCAGATGCCCTCTTTCCTAGGGAAGCGCCTGCAGTCTGTAGGCACCTACGTTTCCAGATTTACAGTTCTGTGGAGGATTAAAGCTTTGGGCATTCACAGAGGCAGGACAGCCTCGATGGTGCAGAGGCTGCTGGTGCTTCCCCAACCTTGGGCTCCTACCCATGTTCTCCTCATGAGGCTGTAGGACATTCTGGAGTTGAAAGTGTTGTCATCCTCTTTGGCTGAGGGCTCTTCCATTTGGCCCAGCCTGGAAATTCAGGCTCTTTTATTTTCTTCGGCCTATGGATCTTAAATTGTTCCATGCAAAGTGGTACAGCTTCAGTGCACTGAAGAGGCAGAGACCCGTCAAAGACTATAGGCTTGTGCGGATATCAGTAAGGTTAAGCCAGAGACAGTCCTTTCACAACCAAATGCCTTGAGTAGCTGAGGTGCTTCACTGCTTAACTAGCAATCTCTTAGTTTCACAAGCACTAGTTTGTGTTCAGCATCAGAAAAGCTTATTAAGATGGTATTTTACTAATAGTTATTGAAAATGTATTTACTGAGATTTTTGAAATATAGCAGAATAAATGACATAATGAAATTTAATAAAATTAATTATTGAAATGTTTTACTAACCTGTAATAAAGCATTTTAGGTTTAATTGTTACCTAACGTTCAAAGCACCTGTGAAATAGCATTTGTCTTTTGATGTGTGGAGTATCTCTTGTATGACATTTTCACTGAATACTGAGTAAACAGCCTGAATTTGTAGCTGTTTGCATCCGTCCTGCAAGTGTTAAAAGGATTACTTTTCTGAAACAAGCAGTAGTGTATAACATACAGGATTTTTCTATATGGGAAAGGTCTGCCATGGCTTTGTTTTGATGCAAAGCAAGCTACAGCCTTATTCAATAGATAAAATATGTTAAGAAAAGGCACAGGTCTCTAGCTCAGAGACATCAATTCAAATCTAGACAAGTTACTGGTGAATAACATCCATTTGCATTGAGAATTGGCTAAAAAAGGCAAGAACGTTTCATGAGAACTTCTCACTTGTATCCTTTCTGATTTTCTATTATAATTGCAGGGGGTTTTTTGGTTAAAATCGCAAAAGGTTTGAGACCAATTTAGTTGTATCACTTAGCCCATCGCTCATAGGGATGATGGTTCCCCCTCCCCGGCCTTTTTTTAATTCAAATGGATATATCCATGCAACAAAACTCCCAACGTAAAGAGCAGCAACTGGCCCTTGCTCCCTTATTGCTGGTCTCTGAATGAAAACACTGATCTATATACTGAAATCTGAAACACTCCCTTGTTCTTTTTACTAGTTCCCTAAAAAAAGGAACCGGGAGACACTGATAGATCAGAGTAGGAAATGTCATGTGACCATAACCTGAGATACTCCTGTTGTGATTTGGGTTACAAGAGCTGGACTTTGGTCTTGCTGACTGTAAAACATAGTTTCCATTGGCACTAAAATACAAAAAAATATACATCATGAACAGTCAAGCACGTTTGTGATTTCATTTTTGATCTGCTTTTATGGAAGTTTCCAGTTTTGTGCAATTCTTTGCTTCCTTTAATTTAAACTAATGTGCTTGGATGGATGGAAAACTCTTTGGAAAACTGTACAATTTGACAATGTTTCACTGTCAGACTGGGAGGGCATGTCAAATGGTATTTTGCAGTGGTCTGCTCTAGTGTTGGTACTGTTAAAAATTTTCATTTAGATCTTAGACAGCACATAAAGGTTTTTGTTCATTAAATTTATAGATGGTCTGAAGCTGAGGAAAACTAAAGATCAGAGTACAGAATTAGAATTCAAAATCATCTGTGAAAATTTGAAAAGCAGCCTGAATATTTAGGTTCCAATTCAGTAAGGGCAAGTTGAAGTATAGGTAGGAATAATAAAATATGCACTTACATGTTAGAAAACAGTTGTTTAGGTACAATTTTGTAGAAATGTTCTGAGGAATCTAGGGGCTCTTAAGCTAATATGGGTTGATGTCATACTGCTGTAAAAAAGCATACCTTGTAGTTAGAAGTATAAATAGGAGTGTAAAGAAACAAACAGGTAAAACACATGAAAGGATCCTATTTTGCTCTAGGATGTCTTCAGTTTTATATCTAGTTTAGAGCACCACACCTAAAGAAATGTGTAGATTTCTTGGCTGGAGCCAAGGAGTAGCAACAAGAATGGACAGGTGAGGAAAGGAAAATCTGAAAAAAATGTGTTTATTTCGTCTCAAGAACAGATGCCTGAAAGAAAACACCTGTAAAATTTTGCTGCAAAAAGCAAAATAGTGAATTACTCTCTTTGTCTGCCTTGGATAAGACCATAAATAGTAGACTTAAATTATAGCAGATGAGATCTAGGTTAGACATTAGTAAAACTTTCTGATGAGGAGGATAGTTAAGCGTGATCACATATAGCCCGGAGACATCTATCAATCTGTATCATTTGAGACTTTTAAAGCGTCTAGACATTAATGTGTCTGGAATGGCTTAGGTGGAGTTGATTCTGTCTTGAGGCAGGTTTGGAACAGATGATCTCTTCAGGTCCCTTCTAGCTCTATTTTTTGTGTTTCTGTTTAACCAGTTATCTAATCAAAGAGATAGCTATATGGTCAAGTTTCAACAATTTTACTCAGTTATCAGTTTATCTCAGTGGAGACGCAAAAAAGCAGAGACATGACAGGTGCAAACACTAGTTGAAGCTCACTCAAAAATGTAGCTCAGCAAGCCAAACTTTAGAATGATCAGCTGTTAATATTCGTGAACTTTGCACACGCCATTCACTCAGACCACAAATCCAGCCACAGTGAAGAGGCCAACACTGCTCTGCATTTCTTGCTAGCAAAAGTTTTCTTGGATAGATGCGTTTGCTTTGAAAACCCTTTCAAAATCAAATCTTGCTTTGATTTTCCTGATTGTCTGGGAATTGTAATGCACTGTCCTCTTGAACAACCATAATGGTGGTTGTTGTGGGTGACAGATGCTTATGCACAAGGGCACAATTTTATTAACAGTGGGTTTCCTCTCTCTCCCCTTCCCTCTGTCTTTCTTTCATAGAAATGGAATGTGAGTCAGACAAAGATTCGCATAATTTCAACAATAATATTCATACTATTTGGCTGTGTGCTGTTTGTTGCTCTTCCTGCAGTTATATTCAAACACATAGAAGGCTGGAGCACACTAGATGCAATTTATTTTGTGGTTATCACTTTAACTACCATTGGATTTGGTGACTATGTTGCAGGTAAGATTTTCTCAAAACTCCTTATCTTATGATATTTTGCACAGTGATATATGATTGACATTTTTATATTTGTTCTGAGGCAGACACAACTCCAATGTGTGTTGTGGTGGGGGTGTTCATGCCTTTCTCTCTCTCCGTTTTACCTACCCTTTTCCATTCTTGTATAAGGGCACATATGGCGACCTCGCTCCACATTGGACCATGTGGCAGTGTAAAGACAAGAGGTGGAACAGCAGGGAGGTTGGACTAGATGATCTCCAGAGGTCCCTTCCAACCTAAACGATTCTGTGATTCTGTGAAATACATGGTCTCTGGTTCTGCCTACCTCATTTTTAATCTCTTGTACCCTTTCAGAGATGCTTTACTTAATTTTAGGTAGGTTTTTTTTGGCCTTACAGATTGAGAGAAACGTAAGAATAAGTACAGTGTTTTAGTCTGCTGAATATTTATTGTTTTTACTGGGAGTCACTTAAAGAAATCTCTCGTATTGATGAGTTATATGTCATAAGTTTAGTGCATAACTCTGAGTGCTGGTCCAGAGTCGTGTTTCAACTGTTGAAACCTCTCTGTTGGTGGTATGTCCTCTCTTTCTGCACTTTGTATCTTTTGTTTGCTTTATGTGCATTGTGCATGTGTGTTTTATAGTATAAGCAGAAGGTTTAGCTTAATACATAGATGTATCCAGCACTTATTCTGTTAACCTGGGTGAATATAACTTTGAGAAACTATGCTAAGAAATGCTTGTGCTAGTTTTTTGCATAAACTTGATTGGCTACTGGGTTTTTTTGTTGGGAGGGGAATGGGAGAAAAGAATCTTGTTCTGAGCAGAATCCTGTTCTCCTCAGACCAGGATTGAGTAAGCAAGTGTGTGTTATCTGTTTCGAGAAGGTGCATTGACTCCAGGCAGTGAAATGAGGGTCAGAAATGTGGGGCTTCATGTGTCTGAGACTTGTTCTCCTGGGCCTGATCTCATGCTCCCCCTGACCCAGTACTGTCAGCTTTCCTTCTTGTGAGAGATGCCTCTGTCCCATGTCTGGACTGTGTGCCAGGCAGAGGTGACTGGCTCTGCCTGCAGTCTGCAGTGGGAGAGAGGGACAGCAGTGCTGAGCTGCTGAGCTGCGGTCAGTGAACTCTTCTGCTGGAGGGAAGAGCAAACTACCACATGACCTCGTGCACAGCTACCCCATGGCCCAGCATGTGGGTCTCACAGGCTGAGTAGCTCCTACTGGGGTAACTTGTAGACCTGAAGTTTGCCTTGATGGCAAGGATGTGATTGGTCCTGTGGCTGTCAAAATCTTTTCAGGTTTGTGAAGTCCCACAGAGACCTCTGTTATTTGGCATATTCAGAAATGATCTAGGTAAAACGTGCAGAAATTGAGCTAAAGTGTTGATAACATTAAAGTATTCAAGCTGTTAAAAAAAACATGAGGCGGCAACATGAGAAAAGTTGCCTAAGGTTCTTATAAATTAGAGGACTGGGCTATAAAATGGCAAATGAAATTCATTTTGACAGCTGCAAAGAAGTGTATCCCTTCCCCCTAATCTTCATATGCAAAGTGAGGAGCTCTAAATTTGAACTTTTCATTCATGAAGGAAAGGTGTTAGATGATTGACTCCATGACAGCATCCGTTCAGTGTTGAGGTGGCCAAATAGGCAAATGCAATATCAGGAATGGCTATGAAAAAAATAGAGCACCAACCAGAAAAAGTATTTATACTCCCTTAAAAAATGATAGCTTTGTGTACCTCTTGAATGCCATTTGAAGTTCTTGTTCCTGCATCTCAGAAATGATACAGTAAAAGTAGAAAAGATAAAAAGAAGGGTATCAAAAATGATCAGGAGTATAGGATGTTGTTTGTATGAAGAATGACTAAGCAGCTTAATACTCTTCAGCCTAGAAAAGGAGGTGACCCTGAAGGGAGACCTTTAGACCTTTAGTGGTCTAAAAAAGGTAAGAAGGAAACGATTGTTCACGTCTCACAATGCAAAAGAACATTGAATAACATTGTATGGAGACCAATTACAGACAGACAAGTATGGTTGTTACATACAACTTCATGTTAAATTGTGAGACTCTCTGTCACAGGATATTGTGAGTGCCGAAATGCCCACAGGTGTGATTGAGGAATTAATGGTGAAGCCCATCAGAAACTAGTTAAACAGGATTGCATCTTTCTCTCAGAAAGTCCCTGAGCAGTCTTCTCTAGGCAGCTGAGGTTAGCCCTATTGGTGAGAGATACGGAGAGAGCTGGCACTTTGTTCTCACTCAGTGCAGCTATATTGTTATGTAGCGTTTGGGGGCTGGGGAGTAAAAACCAGCACATGTAATATGTACATAATGTGGAAAGAAAACAATTTGCTCAAGGAACCTTAATTCTCTCATTTTCTGATTTTTTTTTTTTGATGTCTAACATCCTTTATAATATTTTTGCGTTGTTTTGGGGGAATATGTAATGTATCTATATTTCTTTTCCTTTTCTCTTTCCCTTTCCCTTTCTCCCTTTCCCTTTTCTTTCCCCTTTCACAGATTGCTCTTCTTGCTTCCATTTTGTCTTCAGGAATTTGTGATTTTGATCAGATTCTGACTGACATCAAATAAAAAATGTATGCTGTTTCAAAGCCAAAAGTCTGGGTGTTTTACACTTACTTTCTTTTTTCTTTTGAGATGTATGTTTGTGGCAGGGAATAAAAATAGTAGTATATGAAGGCCTGGTTGTATTTACTGTAAGACATTATGTGAAATGGCCCACTTGACTCTAACTGGAACACTGAGTACATTCATCATTACTCTCATTATAGATTTCTGGAGATTTTTCTATTTGTAGACCACTTGATATAATAATTTGTTCCTACAGGATGTCCTTTTAAAATTTTACCAGGAAATATATTCTTTCTACACAATATCCTTGAATTGTATTGTTCTGTAGCTTATAGCCTTTTATAGTTCACTTCATATTTATTTTTAATTTTCAATTTCCACTATACATGTAAGTGTGATTTCAAAATAGCATGAATGTTTTTTATTTTCTTTTAGAGCAACATGCGCAAGACTTGTATTCATACCATAGTATGTTGACTTTGATAGTTTCGTTGTATAGGAATTGGATTTGTACTTGCAGTAACGACGCTCAAGAGAACAGCGTCTATGCTTGGTGGAAAACTGAATTAGACTACTGTTGCCATCAAAACGGTGAGGTTTAAAATGGCCATCAGATAGCATTTTGTTAGAGATGAAGTTAACAGAAGTTGATTCATTGTCGTCTTCCTTGTGTGAACTAACATATACTCAGCTGATGGCAGAAATCTGAAGGATTTTTCAAACAGCTCGGTTTGTTCTCTTGTCGTTCCAATGAATAATTGTCTTAAGGGCTAAGTGTCCTTATTAATTAAGAGAAAATGTGTAGAATCTTTGGAAGTCAACAACTTAGTTGGCTTTATGATTTTTGCTTTGCTCATTTTCGACCAAACCAAACTGGCTTACAGACACTAAATGCTATTGATATACTTCACCTGAAACTTTTAGGAGAGAGCGCTGTAGAATAGCTGACTGCCATAAACGGAGCTGAAACAGGAATTTAGGCTTAAGGTATGTAATTGTATTTAAGAATGTAGTACAGGTTGTCATGATAGAGTATTTCATCTGGTGGAAGCATCTTAAATTGTTGTACCTCGACAGCATGACATTTCTGGAGTGTGGCTTGTCACAGTGAGTCATGCAGCATGCAGGAAGGAGCTTTAGTTCACTTCTCCGTTCCTAGGTGGCAGTGCATTTGAAAAAAACCTCACACTGGCACTAATTTTTTCCCTTTTCTGATTTTCTTGACAGAAAGGCATACTCCTTTAATTATATTTAGAGTTGAAATTCCCTTCTTCCACGCAGGATTATAGTCAGAACTAAAGCAGAGTGGTGGGCAGTGGTTCTCCAATCTGCAATTATAGCTGAGCAAACTCTTTTGCCAAATAATTTTTTTTGGCCAATTCTTATAGCATATTGGAGCTCTGCGGGATATTTCATGATTCATAAAGTTCCCTCATAAAACAAAGTATTCAATTTCGGCTTTTAAAAATTAAATATTCCATTTCAAAAATGTTTATCTCAAAAAGTACTTCCATTATGTGTTATTTTATTCTTGGTCCTGGAAAGTAAAGTAAAATATTCCAAATCAGCTAAAACAAAATGTTTCATTTGAGGCAATATCAATTTTTTTGCTGAAAAATTCCAAATATTTTATTCCGAATTATTTTTCTGGGAAATATCATCCCAGAGAAAATAAAAATATATTTACAAGCCTTATATACAAATTAATGCTTGTAATAACATGTATGTTGGGAATATAAGAAACATTTTTTACAATATATTGTCATTTTTCACTAGCATGGAACTCACTATTTTTTGGCACCACTGGACTTGAGAGCTAAACAGAAGCCCTGAAGAACTTTCTGGGAGGTAGAGAGGAGAGTGCTTCAGAATAGTTGTTCCAACAGGGAGCCAACAGAAAACCTTAGGCTTAAGGAATGGTGTTAATGACTGTAGTGCAGGTTGTCATGAAATAAATTCTTGTCAGTTCTTCAGAATTTTTCTACTAGTTTCTTCTTGTCTGTACTTGAGAACCAGTGTTTTGCTCCCAGGAACCAGCAGGCTAAAATATCCCCTTTTGTATTTAAAATCTGGGTTGTCATTTGGATCCTATGGAAATTTTAACTTTTCTTAAGAGAAAACTTAAGGCAAATATAGAAGACTGTAATCATTCAAGGTGCATGCAAAGAGAGCAAAGATGAAGAGTCCTTGCATTGCAAGTGCAAGAAAATAAATGTACAGTATTCCAAAAAACAAACGTGCATTTCTGTCTTGTGAAGGGGATTTTTGTGTGTGTGTGTGTGTCCTAATGGGGAAATAAATCACTTTTGTAAATGAAGACAGTGTACTACTGCAGTTTTTTGCAAAAAAAATGAAGTAGGAAACTGTATTAAAGGGTTAGTCACCATTATCTTTTGAAAATCAGGACATATTGTGTCAAACATCCCTTCTCTTACTTTGAAGTGAAATCATTGACTTTAATACTGCAGAACCAGTCAAGGAAATATTACAAATGTCCTATGAAGGAAAAAAGCAAGAGAGCTTTTTATGTCAAATATGTCATTTTTTCATACGATGAAAGATATTCTTGGGTACTAAAGTTAGCATCAAGGCCAAAAAATGTATAACATGAGAATATATTTCTTATATGTGCAGATAACTGCATTGTTAATTGCAGTGCAGACTGGAAGGTACTGTCAAATATTTCTGAGGGAGATAATCTAGCAGGTATCAAATATAAATTAGATTAGATGTCCAAAACTCGACTAAATTAGGTGGAGGTCAGAAATGTTAATAGCATATCAGTAGTCTGTTTCACAGCAGGCATATTGACTTTATAAGCTTACCTTGCAATCAGTCCAATTTAATAAATCATAGAATTCTGCAAGTCTCCACTTTAAAAATCTAGGTTTTTATCCTGCTTCATCTTCAGTTTTTAGCTTATTAATTCTTCTCTGGTTCTGGCTGTAACTGAATCTGGTGTATTGCCATTTTAATTCGGATATTTGGGTCTGCACTGATCAGAGATGGCCCAAGAAATTAAGGGGATTTAGAATTAAAAGAAATTTAATTAAGAAATTAACAGAGATTTTAAAGGTAATGCATGAGAGTCAATCAAATGGCTTGGCCTGAGACCTGGTTTGAATAGTACAGACAGATAGATTACCATCCCATTTAAAGTCACAGAACTGGAACGCTCTGCCTACTCGTCATAGTGGTCCAGCTGATCTGCCCTCACCGTGTCATATTGCTTACCCTATAGAAAGGGCTCTGCAGAGGGGAACTGCTCTCGTGCAGATCAAGAGGTGCGCGTTGAGCGTCGCGTAAGAGAGCTGCATGCTCCCTCCAGCAGGCTTTCTGTCTTTTTTGGCATTCTGAAGTGCTCTTCATCAGCTCAGGCCTTCACTTCTGTAATAAGTGCTATTTGTTGTGAACCATGCAGGCTACTTTAAACTTAAGCTAGTGTACAGTGTCTCACTTGATTTCTGTGTAGAAGAGTGTTTTATAGCTGTGCCCACCGACTGTGTTATAGCACTCCATGACATTTAACCACATGTGCTGAAAGCTTCCAACAGTCACAGGAGAGAGCAGTTGATTTCAGGGCAAACATCCTTATGCATACCTTTTTCTCCCTGGTTTTGCATTAAATTCAGGCCTCATTGAGAACTCTCTGAAATTCACAAACGCAATAGCTAATACAGGTTTTAGTGGTTAACCCTTTTCCTGGAGGTCTTTCTTGACCGCTTCTCTCTGACTTTAGAAAAGCTGAAGATCTTTGGGCATGGCTAGGTGGAGCCATCTCCTGGCCAGACAGTAAACAAAACTCGTAATTGAACGTGAGCACGTCCTAACTCCTGGCCCTGGTAATTAACCTTGCTGTAATGATTATTATGTATTAATAATCATAATAATTACTGTGTAATTATGTATGCACTGTGAAGGAAATGCTCCCGGCGGACTGTCAGAGTTAGGTTCCAGTTTCAGGATATAGGCTATACACAGCAAAAATGATAAATCAGGCAAGCGGATACTTTCTATAGTACTTTATACCAGCATGTGAAGAATAGCGATGAATATGTTTCGTTACTAGCTCCTGAGAGAGCTAAGACATGGTGTTAATGAACCATCCTTTGAATGACAGTAAGTTTTGGGCATCTGTTTTACCAGATTGGGGGATGCCATGACATTAATAAATTGGTTCATCTCTGATACTTTGTTTGTTTTGGAGTGTGACAAACTAGGCCTTTTGGTGGTTAGCTGGCTTCTATTCCAGACAAAGTCCTGGCTTGTACCGTACTTGCGACTGTACAGATGTCGAACTATTCATTTTTGTATCATGGATCCTGCTCTTAGGAAGCCAAATAAGCCATTATAGCTCAAGGGTTTTTATTGAGAAAATGGCTTATTGGCATGAGAATAACAAAATTTCTGCCTATGAGGGCTGCCACACGGAAAGAACCATCAGTAAAATTGTGTTCTGTTTGTTATTTGTTTGTAACCCATGGGATGATTAGATAATAACAACCAGGAAAACCATTTCTCTTTATGAGAATTAATCTTAGTAGTATAACAAGATGCTTTATATTTTGGGGGCAAAGAACATTTTCCTTTGATTGTTTCGGTACGGGATGGAGATTTATAAAGCAAAATATTAGGTACTTGTACCTATTTAAATGCTCCTAAAATGGTTTTAATGTAGTTTCTCCAGTAGTGGGTAGATATGCAAATCAAACTTATACTTGCAGAGACCCAAAGCCCGATTTTATTTATCATAGCATAGCTGAATTGCTGCATTTAAGGCTTATGTTTTACTGCAATGCAGGATGTGAAATATAAGTTATTTTGTGTTGTGAACATTTTTCTGGTGGAAATACGGCCTCTGTTCTTTATAGCTGTATTGGAGCTAGAAGCTCAAGTACAGGCATCTCTCAGATTTATCTAGTTTTGTTTTAACAAGTGAAAGGAGGGAATTGTCTTATTCTTAGAGCAGTGGGATTCAGAAGAGCTGCCTTCAGCTGCCGGCTGTTCTCTCCACGTCTTTGTGAATATGGTCAGTTCAGCCTATGTTCCTGTACCCTGGCTTCTTCCTCTATAAAAAAGAGATGATAATGTTTGCCTACCCAGCAGGCCTGGTTGTTAATGCAGGTGCTATTCTTTGTTACCAGAGGGGGATTAGTACCTCGGTGTTACTAATGTGAGATCCTGTACTGACGGGATTAGTGTAAGTATTAGCATGTGTTTCAAAGTCCTTGCAAAATCAGATTTCTCAGGATATGGACATACTACTTGTGACACTTCAAATTTTGCACAGCGTAATTTGACTCAGTTGGGAAGTCCTTTTGTTCAAGCTCTCCTGAACAGCCTTTCTCTTAAATAATGATATCTCAGAAGTTGAATCAGTTTGTCTATGTTCATTTTAAATTATTATCTAAAATTTATACCTTATGTAGCAGCAGCGGTCTCAAAACTTTTTTCAACAGTGGGTCAATTTACATCATGACGACTTAGTCAAATTCTACAAAATGTTTAGGTGTCTGTTTTTGCATGGATAAGAAAATAGAAGAGGTCAAAACAAATATAATTGCTATTTTAAAAGAAGAATTCATTTACAAACAGTTTTATGCCTATACCTGTTAATTAGTCTTTATTTTTAACTTCATTGTTTTTTCAGGGGGATCAGATATTGAGTACCTAGATTTTTATAAACCAGTGGTGTGGTTCTGGATCCTTGTTGGGCTTGCTTACTTTGCAGCTGTCCTCAGCATGATTGGAGACTGGCTAAGAGTCATATCAAAAAAGACAAAGGAAGAGGTAAGGTCATTCTAAAGGAGAAGAAATGTTCCTCTAAAAATGCTGGTTAGAAGTCAGGTGAGCATATAACTGCATGCTCTTCGGCCACATATCAAAGCTATTTTTGTATGAAGTATATCATGGGGCTCAAACAGAAACCGTATAGCAATCTGGTCAAACATATAGTGTTTTTTTTACATGAATGCATATAAATTCAGGTAAAATGTATTGTTAATATAAGTGTGTTTGCACATGTACACATTTGCACCTGACTTTCAGGAAAAGTTCATCAACAGGAATTATTCTAGATGGTATAATGAAGTCCTTAATTTTTGAGGCAAAAACCATTCTGCTTCAACTGTTTCTAAATAGGATGCAGATATATAAACCAAAACTATTAAATCATTTAATAGCTCTGTTCAAGATACCTTTGATCATCTTCGAGTGGTAAGAGAATAAATGTGTCATGTGGTGCAACGTATTGGAATGAACTATTTAAATATGCCTGGGTGTATTTTACCATAATGTCTTCATCTGCATGCATTGTTATTTGTATTCAGGTGCACTGCTTTCGGTTCAAATATATTTCTCCTTGTAAATGTGCATCTATCATTCTAATGATGATACAGTATTTTACTTTGAATTTACCATTTAACAAAATACTGCAGTTTCAGAAAATGTTAGAGGATAAATACAATTTTCTTTGATTGCAGCTAGCACTGTACAGGTTTCACTAGAAGTTTTAGAAAGAAGGAAATTTTGTTTTAAGCAACATATTAATTCTCTCTAATTTAGCTTCAGTTCATTTATGTGTATCAGTTAATTTGCATTACTCAAATATAAGGAATCTAATTTCTTTTCAGTGAAATAAAAATTTTTCTGGTTACAGTGAGTGATATACCACTTTGTACAGTGTCTTAAATTGTTGTATTAGCTGTAGGGCATGGCATCAATGCCCACCCGTATTTTGGCAATCCTTGAGTTCCCAGAGCTTACCTGTATATGCCTACACTCATTACAATCTGTTCAGGTCCGTCAGAGCCTCTTCCTCTTCATGAGCAGAGGGCAGCAGTGATGGCGACCACAGGCAGGGCAGTGAGCCCTGGGGAGGGTGCTTGGGCAGGCTTATGCCCATTTTGTGAGGCACATGAGGCAGGCAGCCCTTTTACCTTGCATTTGCTATGCTCGTGGTTCTGTATAGTTAATGATAGCCTTGTGGCAGGCTGTTGTAAGTATATTTTTACTAAGAATTTCATAAACACTTATTCAGATAAAAGAATTGGCAGCTAACCAATAAGAGCGTGTATCTCTGAAACGGAGGACAATATTTACTTGTTCTGTTTAAGCTGAAGGGAGTTTGTCTTGTCCCTGCACTGCAGATTTCCTATGATAGTTATAAGTTTACTCACATGACTAGCTTTACTAGTATCCCTCACAGAAATGGAGCAGGAGGCATCATGCAGGTGTTCTCATTTGCGAGGCTGACGGTTTGCAAGTCACCATCTCGGGTTCTGGGAAAGTGCGGGAGGAGTCTATAACTTACAGCCTGCGTGACTTACACTGGATACAGGGAAACCAAAAGGTCCCTTCAAATGCTGTGAGCCTGCATTGTTTTCATGTATTCTCTTTGAACTTAAGAATAGTGATACTAGTTCAGAACAAAGGTGTCTCTAGTTTCCCTCTCCCTTGGGAAAAAGTAAGACCTGGTTGAGCACATGTGATGCTTCTGCAGTGCACTCACTTAGGCAATGACTGTTCTCAGCTTGGGGCATTTCCTAAAGTAGATTTAGTTTTCCTGGGTTTCTTGTTTCTGAATTCTTGAAAGAAAGTGATGCTATGATTGAGGCACTATGACTTGGGACTATGCAAAAATCCCTTGTTCAGAAATCCCTTGGCTTTTCTTTGTGTCCTCACAGAACAGTTTGGTCCTCCTTCACACTACTTCCTAGAATTAATCTGGCCCTTAATTTCACTTTTTTCACACTCTTTTATTAGACTGTAAGATTGCTGGATGAGGTGCTTTTTATTACGTAAGTGTACATAGCACAAGTCCTAGCACATTGGGAGCTTAATCTTGTTTGGAGCATCTCATTATCCATGTTATTCCAATGATGATGATATATTACCAATGTTTGAATTTTATAAAACCTTGTTTTTGTTTTATACTGAAGCCATCTCAATACAGATTATTTAAAGATTTAAAGAAGCATGAATTGAACAGACTTCTGGATCCCTTTAGCCACTAAGTATTCTATTTTTATTAAGCAGTACTCCATTCTCCAGGTGATGCAGCACAGCAGTATGCCAAACTCTCTCTGCTGAGGCTCCAGGAATGCATACCCTATTTCCTTTTTCCGTTCCTTCTCACCTTTGTAGCCTAAACAATCATATTCATTTTGTCTACAGAAAGGAAAACCTCATTCTTCAGATATATCCAAGTTCTCTTGGCTGATGCAGGTATTCAGGATTTTGCTGTATACAAATGTTTCATGTGTTTTTGGGTCAGATGAAAGACAGAGATAACATAATTCAATTAATCATATCCCTGATGTTCAGAAATGTTCCCCCACTTTTTTAACCCGTTGCTCAAACATGTCTGAGAACATCCATAACAGAAATAAGATGGTTTATCAATAGTTTATCAATAGCTGCTATAGTGTCAGAAATGATTTGAGACTAGTTTGAGAAAACTGAATTATGGCATAGTTCAAATTGTGTCCTAATTAGAAAACATGAAAAATTGTCTCTGTGTTATATCCTAATGACATTTTTTAGGAAGAAAGTTGTATATGAATATCATATGTATATGAAAGTTGTATATCGTGTTTTACTGCAAGATTAACTGCATTTGACTGACCAGAAGCATTGTGTAAATATTCACTTTACAGGTAGCATTATATGACAAAAGCAGCTGCTCTCAGCTCATCTGGAAGCTGTCTTTGCTATCTGCCTAGGAAAATTTGAGTAAAAAAGCTGAGGGCGTTCAGTGAAACTGTAGTCATCAAGTCTCGTCTCTGCCAGCAGAAGCCAGAGGAGACTCCTGAATGGCAGTGGCCAAGTCAGCTAATTTGTACTAGAGGCCAGGGCTAAGATAGCGGGGATGCAAGTGTGGAAAAGCCCCTCTCATCCCTTCCACCTCAAAAACTAAAACCATATTCCAGCTGAGGTATTTGATATCTCTTTTGATAGGCAGCTATACTCATCTCCTTTTTGGCCCTTTTCCCATCTGAAGTTTATTGTTGCATGTTCAGGCTGTATACTGTGAAAGAAATCCTCGGCCTTCCAGGAAGTGGACATGTTGGTAGCAAATGTTATCTGTAGTCCTGTTAACTTTTTTCTTTCTTTACTGATGCAATGGCACTTTAGTTAAAAGCACTTTACAGTAGACTTGGAGAGAATAATGCATTTCATTGTTTCAACAAAATAAAACGGCTTTTTTTTTTTTTTTTGAGGCAAGTTTGTCATATGCAAGTGGAATTGAGGCAAAAATGTGTACATTCCCTTTTTGTTTTAAAGTACACTGTTTGTATACAGAATTATTTTGATGAAATATTACTTCACCATAGACAATTTAAAATCACTGATACTCAGTATTGCTCTGTTTTAATAATCTGATAACCAGAAAGTCTATGACTTGCTCAGATGGTCTCTGTCTCCTGAAATACACTTGAGAGTTCTGATTGCATCAAATGGAGAGGGAAGTGAAAGACAAGTAGAGACAGAAGTGGGAGTTTTAGAAGGATAGATCTGCTGCTAGAATCAGTTCATACAGTAAGATAGATGAAGTGTCAGAAAGTCATTGGAACATGCTGTGTGCTATAATCTTAAGTAGGCGATCTGTCTCTGAAGCTCAGCTTCAGCTGTGCTAGCTTGCCTTAAAACTCCCTCCTCCTCATTATTCTCTATACGCTGATTACTCAGAGCACTTACAAAGTCTTCTGATTTTAGTCTCTTTGAAAGGTAAAATTTCAGCAGGATTTTTTCTGTATCTCACTTACTTTTACCTCAGTTTGCACCTGCTTCAGAATTGCAGTGTTTTCTGCAAAAATGCCTGCCCAACCAAGAATATTAGTAATTTAGGCTATAAATTTCAAGTTCATGTTTAGAAAATTAAGTGCTTATGTCTTTTGGCCTCACAATATATTGCAGTAGAGCCAACAATCTTATATACAGAAATTCAACAGGCTACCAATGGTGGTAGCCTGTTCCTCTAGAAAACACTGAAACAGAGAAGGATTTGTGGGAGGGAGTCATAGTGGAAAAGCAGTTGCATATGAAGTCCTTTTGCAAGGCAATAATTAATAGGTGTGAAACAATTCTAGGATGTGCAAGCAGGAGAATGTTGAATAGCTGCAGGAAAGTGGTGTTACTCCTATAGATGTTATTAGAAGGACTATTCCAGAATATAGTCCCTAGCTCTGTGGTCTAAACTTCAGAAAGAATGCAAAGGGCTACAAAACATGGCAAAAGAGCTGTTTGAAGACACCACCTCGTAGCTAAGAGTTTTTCCAGTCCATCCAAGATACACAGAAAAGTGTATCTGAGAAGGAAGCACCTCGTTCAGAAAGGTGCTTGTTTCTAAGAATTTCTGTCAGATCAGTAGAAACAAAAAAATATTACTCAGCTCATAAAATGTTTCTACAGTAAACATAGCCATAGGTCTCTGGTTAGACTAGACCAGAAGCAGCACAAAGCCACCACCAAAACCAAAATGGGAGGTACGGTCCCTCCTTAACTTTTATGAGTCCCTGAGAAATATAGAGAATGCTGCAGGTGTGAAGACAAGAGAGAAATGACTAAATTGATTTTGAGTGAAACTTGATCTCTTCCCTTCTCAAAAGATCAGGAGTGTAATTTATACTAGTGTTGTTCTAGGTCCTGCCCTAGCAACTGTCCATACTGCTGAGTTTCTGTACTGATCACCCTTTTACAAGTACACTGTAGTATTATGTGCAATAACAAACATGAAAGTACATGCCGTTCAGGTATTCCCAGGAAAACCAATCTGCTGAATTTTTTGG